GCTGAGAGGACAGGGAATGCTAACTGCTGCCAGGATGTAGGGGAGTCAGTGAGGGGACCTGTTTGTTCACCCTCAGCCAGCCTAGACTGTTTAGTTCTCTCTGTCCACCATGTGGGTCCCAGCACTGAGCTCAAGTCCTCAGGCTCTATGGCAAGTGCTGCTGACTCACTGAGTTATCGTGTTGGTCCAGCCTGGACAACTTAAAAAAGACACTGATTGAAAAGAAAAACAACAAACAAACAAAACAAAACCAAAAACAGACTAAAATATACATTTTCCCTGTGTACAACAGGGTCCTGGGGGTGGGGGTTGGGGTGGGGGTGGGGTGGAGCTGGACACAGTGCCGCTGGCAGAAACAGTGGGCGGGTCAAGCCCGTGCTCCATCTTAACAGCTTCCAGCTCCATAGTGAAGCCACCAGGCTAAGGCATGCGCATTGAGAATAGGGGCTGATACAGCAGGATCTGGAGTAGGGGGTTTAACTCCCCGGGGAAGCAGCATTCAGGCTTTGATGGCTGTTTGGAAGGAAGAGGTTTTGTGATGGGAGACCCGAGAAAAGGATTTCAAGGTGCACATCAATAACTTTAGTAGATTTAACAAGCTAGGCAACCATCCAGGTCATCCTGTTTTGGGGCACCCCATAACTCCGGTAGGATCTCCTGCCCATCCCCCATTCCTATCTCCCGCCTCTAGTAAACATTGTAGATTTCTACTTCTGGGCAGCTTCGTTTTGTACAAGTAGAACTGTACGACGTGGTGTACCTTCCTTCTCGTGTTGCATCGTGGTTTCGGAGTCCCGCCACACCGCACCAAGGATTTTATTCCTTTTTATTGATGGCTAGAATTCAATTGCTCTGGTATCCCACATGTTCCTTCCTTCCTTCCTTCCTTCCTTCCTTCCTTCCTTCCTTCCTTCCTTCCTCCCTCCCTTCCTTCCTTCCTTCCTTCCTTCCTTTCCCTCCTTTCATGTCCCATTTTCCCACATCCCCAACTCTATCTGGTGGGTTCTTGCTATGTGGTCCAGGATGGCCTCGAACTCTAACTCCCCTTGCTTTAGCTTCCTAAGTGCTAAGAGTGGGTACCACCATGTTTAGCAAACCCTTTACATGTCTACTTTTCTATTAATTGACCTGTGGGTCATTTTCACTTTGGAGTTATTATGAGTAATTCTAGCGCAAACAGTCTTGAGTGCAAGTTTTTACACTCTTGAGGAGATACCCTGATTTGTAAGTAAAGTTGTAGTTATTTCTATGGGGAGAGGAGCTTTACTTAATTGCTTTTGATATTTTCTTTGTAAAAGTAGCTGTAGTAGATATAATTTACATGCCATAAAATTCACCTGGTTTAAGTAGATAATTTTAAAATATTAGTATAACCGGGCATGGAGGTGCATGCCTTTAATCCCAACATTCAGGAAGTAGAGAGGCAGGTGGATCTCTGTGCACTTGAGGCAAGCCAGGACTACACAGTGAGACCTCATCGTGTGTGTGTGTGTGTGTGTGTGTGTGTGTGTGTTCGTGCACATGTGCATGTGGGGTTGGGGCACAGTCAGTGAGATGCCTCAGTGGGTGAAAATGCTTACTGTCAAGACTGGTGATTTGAGTTTGATGCTGAAATCTATGTCGTGTAAGGAAAGAACCAACTCCTACACGCTGCCTTGTGACCTCATGTGAGCCATGACGTGCAAGCATTCACCCCCTACTAAATAGATAATTACATCTGTATTTTTAAAGATATATATTATAACAGTTCTGGTTGTGCAGCCACCACCATTGCTATACCTGGTCTTAGAACTTCTTATGATCCTGTGCCTAGTTACAGTTGCTCCTCCCTCACTCCTGTGCCTAGCCATGGGCAACCGCTAATGGACCACCAATTCCTCTATATTGATGTTGGCCTTTTGTAAACAGCTCACGTGAAAAAGTCATACAAAATAGAGACTGTCTCATCTGGCCTCCCTCGTGAGACACAGCACTTAACACATATCCACAACGTACAAGGCGTCAACACTTCGTTCCTTTCTATTGTCCGACAACCTCCTCCATTGTGGCGGGTTGAACTGAGTAAGCAAGGCTGCCATTCACTGTCACCCAGGTCTCATTTCTTTTGGGAAAATAACCAGGAGTAGAACCGTTGGGTTAAAAGGAAAGTGCATACTTAATCTTTAAGAGACTGTTGAACTATTTTCTAAAATGTCTGCACTATCTGACTTTTCCTGTGAGCACTGTGCGAGGGCCCAGCTGTCCCCTCCCAGCCAGTTCCCCTGAGCATCCCTCTCTATCGTGGTCATTCTAGGGAAGAGGAAGTGGCGTCTCACTTGGTCTTAACTTAGATTTTAATAACTAATACTGAGCATTTAGAAAATGCTTGGTACCTTGGTAAAATGTCTACTCTGATCTTTTGGCTATTTTTACTAGTGTGTACTTATTGTATGGAGCAATGGGGGCAGTATGAAACTTTCATACATACAGTATTTTAAATGTATTTAGCAGCCTACTGCCCACACTCACCTGCCTACTTCCCACTGGTCTCTTTCCTAGTCTTTAATGACCTCTGTCTATTTAATATCTTTTTTTTAAGATTCCATACATAATTAAAAAACATATATCTGACTTTCTGACATCGATCCTCTCCAGTTCCATTCCTTTCTTGAAAGCAACAATGTTTTATTCTTTATGGCTGAATAATATTCCACTATGTGTATTGATATCACACTTCATCCATCCATCCATTGCTGAGAGCCTAGGCTAACCCCAGGACACGATGATAAACGGAGACATAAACTTAGGTGTTAAGGTTTCACTGAAACCTTTTGTGCTGAAACTTTTTGGGCATACATCCAAGAGTGTGACAGCTGGGTCATAAGACAGTCCTATTTTTAATTAAAACAATAACAACAACAACAACAACACGTACTTGCTTCCATAAAGTCTGGGGATTAGTTCACATTTCTCTGTGTTGTCACCAGCATTTGCTGCTTTGCTGGCGTTAGTCATTCTGGCTGGTGTGAGACTGACTTCCAATCTTGTTTTCATCTGTATGTTCCTGATGATTAAAGATGTCATCCTTCGGCAGCGCCTTGGAGGTCCCGTGGATCTGTGTCTTGCTTCAACAGTGTTTGGACGGAACAGACCCGGGGACTCCCGCTTCCTTAGCTTCCAGCCACCTCACTGCCTTCCAGTCGCAGCCTCCGGGACCATCTTCTCGCCGCCTTTGGCTCCTAGGACCAGCCAGCCCAGTCTTTGCGGTTAGCTCCAAACTCCGGATCAGCCATGACCTCTCAGATTCGTCAGAACTATTCCACCGAAATGAAAGCTGCCGTGAACCGCCTGGTCAACTTGCACCTGCGGGCCTCCTACACCTACCTCTCTCTGGGCTTCTTTTTTGACCGGGATGACGTGGCTTTGGAGGGCGTAGGCCACTTCTTCCGCGAACTGGCGGAGGAGAAGCGCGAAGGCGCCGAGCGTCTCCTCAAGTTGCAGAACGATCGCGGGGGCCGTGCACTCTTCCAGGATGTGCAGAAGCCATCTCAAGATGAATGGGGTAAAACCCAGGAGGCCATGGAAGCTGCCTTGGCCCTGGAGAAGAACCTGAACCAGGCCCTCTTGGATCTGCATGCCCTGGGATCTGCCCGTACAGACCCTCGTCTCTGTGACTTCATGGAAAGCCACTTCCTGGATAAGGAGGTGAAGCTCATCAAGAAGATGGGCAACCACCTGACCAACCTCCGTAGGCTGGCAGGGCCACAACCAGCGCAGACTGGTGCGCCCCAGGCGTCTCTGGGAGAGTATCTCTTTGAGCGCCTCACTCTCAAGCACGACTAGGAGGCCTCTGCACCTTCAAGGGGCTCCCTCCTCTGCTCTGCACCAGCCCACCTCAGAACCTCCACCCGAATGAACCTCTCAAGCCACTAGGCAACTTTGTAACCGCCCTGGAGCCTCTCCCAAGTCTTGGACCAAGTGAAAATAAAGCTTTTTGAAACAAACAAAAAAAAACAAAACAAAAAAAAAAAAAAAAAAAAAGATGTCATCCTTCCCAAAGGATTTGAGAGGCAGCAGTTTGGCTCCTTTACTGTTGGACTGTTTGTTCTTTTGCTCAGTTTTGCTATTGCTGTTGTTTGTATTTCCTGTGTCCAGGTGTTTTGTGCCCATGTCTGTCTGTTTACCATGTGTGACTGGTGCCTGTGGAGGCCAGAGGAGGCAGTTGTGAGCTGCCCTGTGAGTGTAGAACTCAAACCTGGGTCCTCTGGAAAGTAGCCTTTGCTCTTAACTGCTAAAGTATCTCTCTAGCGCCTATTAGGGTTTTTTGTTTGTTTGTTTGTGACAAGGTCTAATCAGTTTCAGCTGGCCTGGAAGACCAGGCTGGCTTCAAACTTAGAGCAAGCCTCTAGCCTCTTCGTGCTAGATTATAAGTGGGTGCCAGTGCATTTCAGCTGGGATTTAATTTTTGAGTTCTTTAAATTCTGGACATTAAGCCTCTATTGGATGGCTATCTGGCAGCCATTTTCTCCTGCTCTATAGGCTATACTCTGCGATGCAGAAACTAAAACGTTTCTGCAGTCACAATTGCAGAGTCTCACGCTAATTTCTTGAGCTATTGGAGTCCTACTCAGAAAGCAGTTTTCTTACACCCGTGCCGAAATAGGATCATCTTCATATCATTTGTTACAAATTATTTATTATTGACAGATACATCATCAAATATGTGATTTCGAATTGTTGGCTCCAAGCAGATGTCTCATTTCCTCAATTTGTTTTGTTTACCTTTAAGATCATTGAGGGAGGAAGACAAGACAGAGCGGTGCTTCAGAACCGGGTGGGGGACGGGGTTAAAGGGGGCAGACAGATCCTTTTGTAAGTTGTAACAAGCACATGCCAAGTCTCTTAAAAGCCCCTGGGAATCAAAGGGTTAGAAGCAGCTGTTTCTTGAGGCCTGTTGACAGTCTGGTTAATCAGTAAGCCAGAATCAGAGCCTCCCAAAGTGGGGATGAGCAGAACCCTTCCAAAAGGTTTTCCAGGTTTAGGAGGGGGAAGAGAAATGAGCCCAGAGGGCATCGTGGCTATCCTGGGGCCACAGAAATAATTCCCAGAGTAGCAGAGGCGGGTCCCCAGCCTCCTGTAGGTGCGGCGAGTGCGAGGCTGGCTACTGTGATCTGGATCCCGACTGGCAGAGGATTGCTTGGAGATCAGGAGGGCCCTTTTCAGAGCCGCTTACAAGCTCCGCGAGATGCCAGACCTGCCCTCAGCCTTCCTGCCCCTCCTCCTCCTCTCCAAGTTTGTTACCCCGGTGACCTTTCGTCACCACCGCTACGACGACCTCGTGCGGACGCTGTACAAGGTGCACAACCAATGCCCGGACATCACGCGGCTCTACAACATCGGGCGCAGCGTGAAGGGGAGGTACCTCTACGTGCTGGAGTTTAGCGACTACCCTGGGATCCATGAACCCTGTGAGTCTCTGAGCTTTGATCTCTGTTACATACATTGCCAGGCAGCCTCAGACAAGTTACTTAGCATCCACCCCTCACCTCTTCACTCAGAGGCTATGGGATCCACTCCACAAGTTTTTTGTTAAGATTAGCAGTAACGAACCTGAACCGCTAGTACGCTTGGGGGTTCAATAAATGAGGGTCATTATTATCCTGGACATGGATTTCTATAGATTTTCTAATTACAACTTACTAGGATGGGGCTTGGGGATTGCTAGCAAAGACCTAATAAAAGCCTGAGATTTTCTTTCCTTTTTGGATCAAAGATGGGGTGGTTGGACACGAGGGGGGGGGGAAGTATTATGGAGGGTGGGAGGCTGGGTGGTGGGCGGCTGGGTGGTGAGGGTGGAGTGTGGTGAGAGACAAAGCTGGCCTTGAACCCATGATCCTCCTGCCTGCTCCTTCAAGAGAGTTTCCGTTTCTGTTTCCAGTGGAACCGGAAGTCAAGTATGTGGGGAACATGCACGGGAACGAGGTGCTGGGTCGTGAGCTACTCCTGCAGCTGTCAGAATTCCTCTGCGAGGAGTTCCGGAACCGGAACCAGCGCATCCTGCGCCTCATCCAGGACACGCGCATTCACATCCTGCCTTCCATGAACCCTGACGGCTACGAGGTGGCTGCTGCCCAGGTACGCAGTCCGAGGGAGATCTTATGAAATGACTGCCAGTAGACAGTGTGTCCTATGTTCCATTGTAAATATCAGTTTAAGGGGGAGGGGGTAAAACAGCTGGCGCGCAGGAAGGGACAGAGGCAAAGGTTAAGACTGGGGAACCATGGGCTCTAGCCCCACAGGCGGCAAGTGTGCAGGCGGTAAGTGGACGCTGTTAGCCCAGCTAACCTTAAGATCTTGTTATGAGAACAGATGTGGAAATTCCTTGGCAACACCTTGTAAATGGGAAAATATACCCACCTTCCTGTACTTTTAGCCAAAGAGCACAAACTTCCCTCCGATCTTAGGGTGGGGAATTAATTCTAGATGATTTTTTTGGCCGATTAAGACTTTAAACATGCTAGTCAGTACTCCACCACTGAATATTCCCCAGCCTTCTTTTTATATATTTTTTTTATTCTGAGACAGGAACTTGAAAAATTGCCTAGGCTCGAACTCACGAAGCAGGTCTCAGGCTTAGGACCCTTCTGACTCAGGCTTTCCGGAGGGTGGGTTCATAGCGGGGCCACTATGCCTAGCGTCTGTTTCTCTAGAAGAAGAATCATGTCTAGAAGCCATGGATGTCAGGGAAAGACTCCTTTAAGTCTTGCTGTCACCTCACTGTGACATCCATTTCAGTCCTCTGAACTCCAGATAAAAAGTTGCAATTGTTTTAAACAGACAAGTTTGTGGTACTTTGTTGCAGCAGCAGTAGGGATCTGTTACACCATTTGCTGTTTGTGGGAACCTGGGAACCTTCATTTAGGTAATATTCGTCGTCGTCGTCGTCGTCGTCGTCGTCGTCCTCCTCCTCCTCCTCCTCCTCCTCCTCCTCCTCCTCCTCCTCCTCCTCCTCTTCCTCCTCCTCTTCCTCCTCCTCCTTCTCCTCTCCCTCCTCCTCCCCCTCACATCGTCATCTTCTCCCTCCTCCCTCCCTCCTCCTCTCTCTCCTCTTCATCCTCCTCTCACTCCTCCTGTTCTCTCCCCACTTCGCCTTTTTTTTCTTCTTCCTCTTTTTTTGGCTCTTCTGGAGGTGAAATTCAGAAGCCTTACTCATTCTAACAAGCCCTCTGACACCAAGCCACAGCCCCCGTCCTGGAGAGCCCTTCCTTACCAGCCTAATCAATGGCCAGCTGTGTACCAAATCAATAGGTAATACCTGTTGCCCTTAAGACTAACAGTTAAGAGATACACTGCGAAGAACAAGAAGACATTAGAAAGCCCCTGCCGTGGAAGGGCGACCCCAACTCAGAAGTTGGCTAAATGCTTGTACTGGGGCAGACATTATGTAGGTAACTTAAGAGCACTTTATAAAGTGTTATGTTCCCTGTGCAACCTAAGAAGAAAATACGAGTGGGATGCCGTGTAAAAAGGGAAACTCTGGGAATGAGAAAGATTCTTAGAGAAAATCTGATGGCAGTCCGTCTCTGAGTTTCCAAAAGGAAATGAGATTGATTTACATCACTTCTGGGAATAGCCAACAGTTTGAACTGTACCCACTCAGTCCATAGGGCTGTAGTGGACACTAGTCTCCTTCTCCAATGACAACAAAGTAATTCTAATGACCTCCACCCACAAACACCCACAAACATAGACTCCATTCTGAAACAGGATTTCATGTAGCCCAGGCTGGCCTTGAACTTCGGAACCATATTCCAGCATGCTGGTTTTCTGCAGTGCTGGGTACTGAACAGAGAGAGGGCTCTGTGCATGCTAGGCAAGCCCTTTTAACAACCGAGCTAAGCCCCAGCCGTAATGGGAATCTTCACACATCTGTGTTATACCATTTTCTATTTATTCATGGATGTGTCTAGCTCCTTGTGTGTACCATGAATTCCTATAGGGCTAGAAGAATATCTCACTTAGCTCCTTTCCCAGTGTCTGAGGGTTTTGTGTGTGTGTGTGTGTGTGTGTGTGTGTGTGTGTTTTATTTGTTTTTCCAGACAGGGTTTCTCTGTGTAGCCCTGGCTAACCTGGAACTCACTCTGTAGACCAGGCTGGCCTCGAACTCAGAAATTTGCCTGCCTCTGCCTCCCAAGTGCTGGGATTGAAGGCGTGTGCCACCACTGCCTGGCATCTGAGGGATTTGGATAGACAAAGCCTAAATGAATGGTTTTTGATTAGATGGGTTAGTGGATTCAAAAGGAGATAAAAGCTTGACCAGGAACAGAGCGATCAAGGAAGGCATCCAGGAGTTAAAGAGTACTCAGAAGATACAGCTCCTAATATTTCATAATTTGGTTTTACTAGCGTATGTGAAAAAGTGAAAAAGACACTTCCCTGACCAAAGCATGAATCTGTAGACAATCATAATCGAAACCACTATTATTGATGTCCTTATAAGGACAAAACCTGGCATAGCAGTGCACACCTGTGACCCCCAACATTCAGGAAATGGAGGCAGAAGGATCAAAATCTCATAGTCACCCTTAGCTATATAGCCAGTTTCAGTTCAGCCTGGGATACATGAAACCTCGTCTCATAATGGAGGGAGGGAGGGAAGGAAGTAGGGGAAGAGGGAGGGAGAGAGGGCGGGATAAGATATATTAGTTATGGTTAGTAACAACCTTTTCTGTTACTGTGACCAAACACCAAGACCAAGGCAACTTAGAGAAGAAAAAATTTGGAGCCTTAGAGCCCATGATGCCAGAGCAAAGGCATAGTAGCAAGAGTAGCTGAGAGCTCACATCTTGGTCTGAGAGCAGACCACAGAGAGCACCCTGGGAATGGCATAGGTCTTTTGGAACCTCAGACCCCACCCCCAGTGACATACTTTCTCCAGCAAGGCCACACCTCCCCAAGCTCCCCAGACAGCCACCAACTAGGGACCAATTATTGAAGTACCAGAGAATTAGGGGGACTGCCACAGAGAGAAGAAAGAAGGAAAGAAAATACACAGAGACATCAGGGAGGCCAGCAAAGCTGGTGTGGTGGTTTGAATAGGAATGGCCACGATACATTCTTGTGTTTGAATGCCTTGACCATAGGGAGTGGCACTGTTAGGAGGTGTGGCCTTACTAGAGGAGTGTGGCCTTGTTAGTGGAAGTTTGTCACTGTGGAGACAGGGCTTTGGAGTCTTAAATGCTCAAGCTACACCCAGTGTGAAACACATCCAGACACCCAGTGTGAAACATATCCAGTCTTCTCCTAGCTGCCTTCGGATCAAGATGTAGAACTCTCGGCTCCTCCAGCACCATGTCTACCTGTGCTTCCCACCTTGATGATAAGGGACTGAACCTCTGAAACTGTAAGGCAGCCCAAATTAAAGGTTTGCCTTTATAAGAACTGCCTTGGTCATGATGTCTCTTCCTAGCAATGAAACTGACTAGGACAGCTGGAAACAAAACTTCATGGTATACATTGTGCATCTAAAAGCTAAGGACAGGGCCCCAAATTGGTTCATCAGGTAAAGCCTCTTGCCTTGAAAGAGTGGGACCTGAGTTGAAACCTTGGAGTCAGCATAAGGAGAGAGGTAAGAACCAACTCCACAAAGCTGTCCTCTGACCTCCACATGAGCTCTGGGCCATGCATGCCCCCCACAATAATAAATAAATTTGAAGTCAAGGAAGGCCTAGGACCACCAGAAACTAAACTGCAGAAAGCCATCAGAGAGCATGACCATGATGCCTGGGTTTTAAACTTACCCCTTCAGGTCTGAGAGAGAATTCATGCAGCCTCGATGCTTGTGGTAATTTGTTAGATGAGCCCTAAGAACCTGACATATACTGTCAACTCGTGGATGGATAAATGAAGCGTGACACGTCTGCACCATGCAGAAATGAAAAGGGAGAAGTACCAGGACACACTACATGGGTGGATCTCACCTGCAGAGTATATGGTGTATGATCCCACGTACACATAACACGTACAGAGAAGAAAGAATATGGTCACTTAGCTCCGGGGTAAAAATAAGCGACCCTGGGTGGGAATGAGCTTATTTTTAAGGGTACAGAAATGCCTTCAACTACAGTTTCATGATTTTAGAATAATCGTGAGGGTGATGCTGTTGGTTTCACTTGGTGGGTAAACTAAAATCCATCAAATTGTATTCCTTAAGCAAGCAATTCTCTTAAAATTCTGGGAGTCACTCCTGTTAGATCTTCTCCTGTGGTTCCCCTAGAACTTTGACCCACCCACCTAGGACAGGAAACCTCAAGGTGATATTGCCTCACCATTTCATAAATAAGGCTAGTGTGTTGGTTTGAATGAGAAAGACCCTGCCATAGGCTCATGCCTTTAAACACTTGGCCCCCGTTGATGGTGCTTTGGTGGGGTGGGGGGAGATTATGGAGTCTTTGGGAGCTTGCTGTGGGTGTGCTTTGAGCATGTATAGCCTCGTTCTGTTTTCTGTTCTCTCTCACTGCTTTCTGTGTATATTAAATGTGATCAGCTAGCTTCCTGCCCATGTCACCATGCCCTGCCTTCTGGGCCATTATGAACTCACTCTTTTCTCCTTCTATCTGTCCGTTCCTCTGTCTGTCTGCCCCTCCCTCCCTCCCACTTCGGAACCATAAGCTAAAATAAACCACTTTTATTTCTTAAGTTGATTTTGGTCATGTTATTTTATCACAGAAATAGAAGAGTAACTAATGCAGCTGGTATTTTTAAAAGTTATAGCACGCTCTTGAAATGCAGGACTCTGTCTTAAACACCCATCTTTCCTCTCCCCATTTCTCCTAGGGCCCAAACCCGTCCGGGTATCTGGTTGGTAGGAACAATGCAAACGGGGTGGACCTGAACCGCAACTTCCCGGATCTCAACACTTACTTCTACTACAATGCGAAGTATGGCGGCCCCAACCACCACCTGCCCCTCCCCGATAACTGGAAAAGTCAGGTAGGAGATGAAAACAGTAACAGAAGCCAATAAAATCGTCAGCTAGAGTCACCTGCAACATGCTAAACATTCTTCATGCCAACAGAACCATCAAGAATTAAGTATGCACCACTCCTTGTTGACTTACCTAGAGGAACAAGTGGCTGTCCAGCTTCTTTATCTCGGCAGTGTAGAGCCATCACCACCAACTCCAGCAGCTAGTCCTTGCTGACATTAAGCTGGTAGGGATGGTGGCAAAGGAGGAGAGAGCAGATAATTGGCGATTTCACAAAGCTCTTTCCAAGCCTGTTTCAGTTGTCACCGTAGTACTGGGCCATGGATGTGGCAAGCAACAGTAGCCAATGACCCTGTTTGACAGTTACTACATTTATAGGTGAAATTAAATTCACATAGCTAATTTTTAAACCTAGATATGGACTTGGAGATGGCTCACTTGGGAAAGTCCTTATTCCATAAGCATGGGGACCTGAGTTTGAACTCCAGGACCAGTGCCAAAATCTAGGTGGAGGGCCATCAAGATGGCCCAGTAGGTAAAGGTGCTTGCTGCTAAGCCTGAAGACCTGAGTTTGAATCCCAGAATCCACATGATGGAAAGAGAGAACTGACTTCTGCAAGTTGTCCTCTGACCTTCATAGCAAGCTGTTATGTGTGTGTATGTAAACACACACACACCAGTTTGTGCACACTCATATGCATGAACACACACAGACCTTCTGACTCATAATCTAAAATTCTTTCTGTTGAGCAGTGGTTCTCAGCCTTCCTAATACTGTAGCCCTTTAATACAGTTCCTCATGGTAACCCCCCCAACCATAAAATTATTTTCATTGCTACTTCATAACTGTAATTTTTTGCTACTATGAATCATAAGTATCTGTGTTTTCTGGTGGTCTTAGGGGGCTGTGAAGGGGTTGTTCAGCCATGAAGAAGTTGAGACCCACAGGTTGAGAACCACTATGGTAGCCTGGTGGCAAAAAGCTTCAGCATTTTATAGACAAGGTTGTCCTACTTGTGATGAGCTGGATATTCAACAACATCAGCTATAGTTGCAGTTCCTGATGTCTGACTCCTGGTGTCCTCTTTTCTTCCGTGTGACCCTTTGCATTTTAAAGCTTGCTTTGCTTCCTAAGCTGTCTCAATGGGAGACAGCATTTGGTAAGCCCTGGATAATCTAAATGGTTTCAACCTGCTGTACATCTGCTACAGGGAGGGAATAACTACCGCCATTTTCAGGGCATCCCTGGCAGCCCTGACTTTTCTCCTGTGCGGGATAGTTTGAAACACTAGTCAATATCTAAGATTAGAGGCTGGGGCAAGGAACTCAAAGCAGGGGAAAGAAAGCCTTTAAGTCGGACATTCCTGTGTGTATAGGGTCAGTATTTTCCTCTTGACATGACGGGGCTGGATAGATGGCTGAGTATTTCAGAGTGCCTACCATTCTCACAGAGACCCCACATTGGACAGCTCACAGCTGCATGTAACTCCAGTTCCTGGAATATCTGATGCCCTGATCCTTGTGGACACACCCCCATGCAGACACACATACCCACACATAAGTAAAAATAAAACAAAATCTTTTTTAGAAAATGATGTCATGTTGACATGTTGAATTTCTGGTTATTGCTGTCCTTTGGACTCAAATAAGTTAAAAACAAAACAAAACTAGAATCATGGGCCTACTCAGTGTATCTAGCCTGAAGAATGTCATGAGTTATTTTTTATTCCCTGAGGAGTAAGGTATCATGTAGCTTAGGCTAGTCTCAAATTTACTTACTAGGATGGCCTTGAACTCTTGCTCCAGAGTGCTCTGAATAGTCATGAGTGTGCTCTGAATTTTTAAAAGATTTATTCTTTTTGTATTTTTTATTGGGGGGGGGCACTTAGTGTGTCTGTGTGGAGTGTGTACACATTAGTTCCAGGTGTTCTCAGAGTCCAGAAGAGGATGTCGGATCCCCTGGAGCTGGTGTTACAGTGGTTGTGAGCCACCTGACATGGGGGCTGAGAACCGAACTTGGGTCCTGTGTATGCTCTTAACTGCTGAGCCATCTCTCCAGCCCCATGGTTTGAGTCGTTAAACTTGTTTCTCTGTGTAAAGCAAAATAATGAGCCTCTCACTTAATCTTCTGCTTAACCTGGAAGAGGAAAAATGAGGATGAAAACTCCGAGAGGGGAAGGGATGGCAAGAAGCTGGCCTTTCGAGGATGTGGAGAGAGAAGGGTTTGCTTTCAGAAGGCCTGAGCTCTTGGTCCTACAGCCTCATGCTGTGAAATGACAGTGTCTCTAACACACGTCACCATTGTGCACCAGTGATCCCCTCCTCATGTACCAGCTTAGTTTGTGTAAAGTTCATTCACTCTCCGATTCTGCACAACAGAATTACCAGACATTTCTCAGAACGTGCCCATTAATACATGATGTGTCTATTCTGGTTGAGTGAGACCCAAACTGTCTTCAGAAAGTCCCCTTTGGGGTGGAAAGACAGGGCCTTTAGAACTGACCCTTGGTCCAGGAAAGAGCCATTAGCTCACTGACCCCGAGAGATCACCAGACAGGACCCCGTGAGGAGGAATGCCCTGGAAACCGGATTATCTGTGCTCAAGTCCAGTGGGTTCAAAGTTTCCTTTACAAAACTGCCACTCACTGGCAGTAATAGTCAGTAGAAATTAGTGTGTCTAATCTATGGAACGTTGACATGAGCTGCATGTCACTAAAATGGTACAGGGGATGTGTGGGGAAGAAGACAGTCACTTCTAGCAAGTGGTTCATTTTATTAGAACTTTAAATATTTGTAGAGCTGTCTTAGAAACCCAGCCACACTACAGTGGGCAAACTGGGAAATTTGTCTCCCTCCCTCCCTCCCTCCCTCCCCTCATCTCTGTCTCTCCCTCTCCCTCCCTCTCTCCTTTCCCTATTCCTCCTCCCTCTGTCCTCCCCCTCCTTCTCCCCAAAATTGAGAAAAGAAATACAAAGAGTTCCTACACACTTCCTGTTCACACACAGACCCCACCTTCAATGCTGTACCCTAGAATAGTACATTAATTTCAGTCAATATGCCTGCCTTGATCTGACCTCAAGCTCTAAATCTGAAGTCTACAGTTCCACTAGTGAGAGCCCTTGGCGTTACACCTTCCACGGATGTGGGCGGATATTCTGGAAGTGCCCACCACTGTCCTATGGTACAGAAGCGTCTCAGCACATGTGTTCTGTACATTGTAATCCACATATTTCACTTTGGAAAGGGGTCCCATGTATTTAATTTTGAAATCATCACCACAGAGGTCAGAGTTGCTCCAGGTCTCATGATTCGGAGGCTGTTTTATTGGGATACCCTGGCCCCATGTACCCCTTCCTGACTGGTTTTTCAAAGGGGCCATGTGGCAACTCAGCCACACTTTGGCTGCCAACTTCTTGTCTCTTCACAGGTGGAACCCGAGACCCGGGCGGTGATCCAGTGGATTCGATCCTTAAACTTCGTTCTCTCAGCCAATATGCACGGCGGGGCTGTGGTGGCCAATTACCCGTATGACAAGTCACTTGAGCATAGGTTCCGAAGTCCCCATCGCACGTCCAATTCCCCGACCCCTGATGACGCTCTCTTCCAGACGGTGGGTAGAATGGCAGCTCGTCACAGCAGGGGGAGCATGAGGCTCAGAGATGAAATTCATGTCAGAGACACAGGACCCCATAGCAGCAAGTCCACAGACAGTTATAGAAAGCAGGGTCTGCTTGGGAGGGGCTGCCTAGCAAGTTACATTGTATTTCTGGTGATGAGCCATAAATCCAGGGATGATTAAATCAAAACATTTTATAATTGCTACGATGACCAGAACTCTAAAACTGATGACCATGAGAACAACCCTGAAAGCTAATCACAGCTAATCACGCTGTCCATGAGTCAGTGCAGTGAAATGTGAATTTTGAATCTAATTTACAGTTTTATGATGATATGTGTATTTTAATGAGAGACAGGCTATGCATATTAAGATTTAAATAATAATACCAAACAATGGAGCAGGGACTGGAGAGATGGCTCAGCAGCTAAGAGCTGCTTGCTGTTCTTGTAGAGGACTCCAGCTCTGTCCCAGCATTTATGTTTGTCAGCTCAAAACCGCTTAAAGTGACAGCTCCCAGGGATCTGAGACTTCTGGTCTCCAGGGGCAGCCGCATCTACACAACAGACACACAGAAACACACATATAAATCTTATTTTAAAAGATGAATATAGAGCCAGACTGTGGCGGTGTGCGCCTTTAATTCCGGCACTCGGGAGGCAGAGGCAGGTGGTTCTCTGTGAGTTTGAGGCCAGCCCAGTCTACAGAGTGAGTTCCAGGACAGCCAGGGTAAGCTGTCTCAAAAAATAAACAAATAAACAAAGAAAAAATGTAAACATTATTAAAAAGTCATAGGGGTTATAGTTATAAGAGAGTCTAAGCGCGCGCCTCTCTTTCCAACACACGTCTTTCGTCTGTCAGAACATACACGTTTTCGACTTTATGCAATCTTTGATTTCTTTCATTAAATTCAGCTAGAAAATGGTCCAACTGAAAAGGACCCCCTGTGTGACAGTCTGCTGTCATCCCTCCCTTTGCAACATGACACTAGAATACGGGAACGCTAGAATACTGGGCTCCCAGGAGCAACTTTAGAATCTGGAAAGCTGAAGCAGGAGGATTGAGTTCAAAACCAGCCTGGACAACAGAGTGAGACCCTGTCTCAAAATAGCTGACAGAGAGAGGGATGGAGGGAGGCGGAGATCAAGAATGGATCCAGAGTTTCCACCTGTAATCTGAATCATGCTTATTACATGGATGCTTGCACACGCAGTGCGAGCACATGCATATCACCACCACCACCACCACCACCACCACCATCACCACCACCTCATCACCTCCTCTGCCGTCTCTGACATACCCTTGCATTGAAGCATAGAAGGCCCTGTGTGTGCCATTATGGCCTCTTGGCTTCCCCTGCTTGGGCACCTGAGCCACTGTTGGGGTTGGGGATGTCCTCAGGCATTTTCTGCTTTTCCTCTAGCTGGCCAAGGTCTACTCCTATGCGCATGGATGGATGCACCAAGGTTGGAACTGTGGGGACTACTTTCCAGACGGCATCACCAACGGGGCGTCCTGGTATTCTCTCAGCAAGGGTGAGCAGTCCTGGGAATGGCCCGGCTGAGGGGGAGACTGCTTTTCAGGGACACGATGGGGAATACTCCACAATTTTGCACTTGGGGTGGGGATTAGAGAAAGAGAGCTTCCAAGCTGCCATTTTATAGCCTGTTCATGATCCTGAAAGACCAGGGAGGGCATAGGATGTGGTTTTATAAAACTAGTGTTTTATGCCCTAATCTGCTGGAGCATAGGAGAAAAAATAATAATAAAAATAAAATGATGGGGCTCAGTGAAGGGTTTGGCCTCTGAGATTGGCTAGAGAGTAATCTTGCCCATGTACCAGCTGTATGGCTTCGGGCTGATTGCATGACCTCTCTGTGCTCTGGTTTCCCTGTCTCTAATTAAGCCTGATAACACACTTGCCTTGTAATTTTGATTTTTTTTTTTTCGAGACAGGGTTTCTCTGTGTAGCCCTGGCTGTCCTGGAACTCACTTTGTAGACCAGGCTGGCCTTGAACTCAGAAATCCGCCTGCCTCTGCCTCTCAAGTGCTGGGATTAAGTAAAGCAGTTAGAAACACCTGGCTTCTACAAGCTGTTTTCTTATTCTTTCTTTCTTTTTTTTTTTGTTTTTTTTTGTTTTTTTTGTTTTTCGAGACAGGGTTTCTCTGTGTAGTTCTGGCTGTCCTGGAACTGACTCTGTAGACCAGGCTGGCCTCGAACTCAGAATTCCACCTGTCTCTGCCTCCCAAGTGCTGGGATTAAAGGTGTGCGCCACCACTGTCCAGCAAGCCCTACCTTGTTAGGCATGCAGGCATGCAGGCACGCACACAATCATGCCTGGGATAGGCTCAGGACACACGTCTGCTCTGTATCTCTTGCTGTAAGGTGGGGGAGGGGGCTAGAGCAGGGAGCCGGGCTCTTTCAGGAGCTGTTGACAGCTGTCTTCTTTCACGGCCTTAGATCTGTGCCATCCATATTGATGAAGCTGAGTTGATATTTGGTCCTGGGGAGAGTAGAGAGAAGCCAAGGAGTCACTGTGTACTGAGAAGTTAGGCTTGTGCCCCAAACCTGCTTGAACACTTTGAAGAGAAAATTCCAGTAGATGCTCATTTCTTTACCTTTGAGCTCAGAAGCCAACTCCTCATCCCCCAGAATGGAAGCATCAGATAGGCCTTTTCAGATCATGCTTGTTTGTTTGTTTTTTTTCTCTCCCTCTCTCCCTCCCTCCCTGTCTTCTGAAAATGCATGGCCCATGTCTCCTCAGAGAATCTCCACCCTAAACCAAACTGACACAATCCCAAGATTAACAACAATTAATTAGGTCAGTCACATTGGTTGTCTCAGCAATGTGGTCTCTGACCACAGTGTCCTGGGAAGTTGTTAGACATAGAAACTTGGGGCCCTTGCCCTGTGCCCTGTGTTTCCTGAGTCAAAAACTCTACAAGTATGGCCCAGTAATCTGTGTTTAGCTGGATGCCCCAGCCTTTTAGGGGCCTTTAGTGCATGGGAGGAAACCAGTTGTTCAGTTATGGTTGCTGGTCTCTGGAGTAGTCAGGGCTCTCTAAAAGAATAAAGCCCATAGAATGAATATGTGTTAAAAGAGAATTTATTAGAATCACTTAAAGGAAAGTCTGAGTAGTTCAACAGTGGCTGTCTTCACACTTAAGACATGGAGGACCTGGCACCTCCTCCTCACCCACAAACCTGGATTGCTCCGCACTGCACTTCCAGTCTGGTGCTGAAGGCAGTTTTGCTCCACGTTGTAAGACCAAAGAAGCTGGTTTCTAGTGTCACGGCTCTCCAGCAGCGGTGGTAACAGTGGCAGCAACAGAGTAGATGAACCCAAGAGCAGAGTAGGTGAACATGCCCGCAAGACACAAAGGGAAGCAAGCAATATGCAACAATTTTCCATGAACCTCCTTTTATCTGGGTTTCTGCTGGAGGATGTTACCTTCATTTAGGGGGGCTTTTCCACATCGGATGACTGAGAGTCCCCATAGATGTGCCTAGCAGCCTATCTCTTTGTTGAGTCCAGGTCCAGTTGAACTCTCAACCAAGATTAACCACCAGTCTCCAACTTTCTCCATTCTTTCTTAGTTTATATGTGCAGTGTTTTTGCCTGCATGTATGTCTGTGCACCCTTAAGAGCCTGGTGCCCCAGGAGGCTAGAAGAGGGCATCAGACCCCCTAAAACTGGAGTAACAGAAGGCTGAGAGCCACCATATGGGTGTTGGAGTCTAACCTGGGTCCTCTGGAGGAGCAGTGAGTGCTTTTTACTGTTGAGCCATCTCTCCAGCCCCCTGCATAATTTGTTGTTGTTATTGTTTTGGTTGTTGTTTGTTGTTTTTTTGAGACAGATTCACTGTGTATCCTTGGCTATCTTGTAACTCTCTCTATAGACCAGGCTGGCCTCAAACTTACAGAGATCTGCCTGCTTTTGCCTTTCAAGTACTGGGATTAAAGGCATGTGTCACAATGCCTGGCTTCCTTTGCTTTTCTTGTGGTAAGATGTCACTGCTGTCTAATCTGATCTTGAACCCTTGAGTTCAGTGGATCCTCTTAGCTCACCAACTGGGTTGACAGGAACGTTCTATCCAGCTCCATCTTAACCTTACAACCTTATTTATTTAGTGTGTGCGTACGTACACAGGTATGAGGGTCCTTTTTCCTGTTTGGTCTTTTGAGACAGGGTCTCTCTCTTTGTGTAGCCCTAGCTGGCCTGGCATTCACTGTCAACAGAGTAAGTTCCAGACAGCTGGGGCTACACAGTTGCATCAGTGTTAGATGAGGGTCAGAGTAACCTTACAACATCTGCTTTTGAAACAACATAGTAGTTATTTCAGATACAACACCACAGGTATTTGCAGTAGAGGACTGAGAAGCATTTGAGGAGACCACATTAGGTCTGGACAAGATGGTCTTACCGTAGCCACTTCATATGTAAATTTAAGAGAATATATGCGCTATAAAAATAATCAGAAAGGCAGTGATTTGATTGGTCACTTTAGGTTGAATTTAGGTCTTTGAATTGATGAATTTTAATCCACATGAATGTACAACATAAATGTCATTCTAACAATCAGAAATATACTGAAACAGTTGATTCAATTAGATAATTGAATAATATGAACTCGCAGAAGAAGCCAGTATATGGTAGAGAAAAACTAAAATACAGGTGTCCGCCACTTTTCCATGAGTCAAAGTTTCTGGGCTGTTTTCAGATTATGGTTGTGTGCCTAGCTGTGAGACGCGAAGCAAACGTCCATTTCCTCTGCCTCTCAGGTCTGCGGAATGTCAGAGTTCAAGAGAAATGCCATTCCCCTGAAAGCAGCCCATGTCTGCACTCAACTGAGGCAGACAGGAATAGGGGGTGCAAGAGAAATCAGGGGTTGCAGAGGTGGCAAGTAGGTAACAGCCCTTGCCACACAAGCATGGGGACCTGAGTTCAAATTCACCTTGGCACTTGAGGAGAGAAGGCAGGAGACTTATTGTACTTGCTAGGGGTGAGCTTAACTCCAGGTTCAGGTGAACGAGCCTCTCTCAAGGGAATAAGGCAGAGACTGATAGAGCAGGGCACCTGATGCTTCCTTGAGCCTCCACACATGCGCACACACTCGGAAGGGGGAGTAAATCACAAAATGAGAGAAAGGATTCAGGTGAGCATTAGCTAGAGAGAGAGAAAGGCACACAGCCTGAGACTCGGGAACAACTCTGTGTAGAATAAAAGTTAGCAGATGTCAAGAGGTCAAAGAGAAGCTGATAACGATGCAGTGGAGAAATTGTGAGTAATGAGAAAGGTTGGCTGTGGCGATGGCGGGTCCCTCGCCACAAAGACCAGCCGCCGTCTCTTCCCCAGGAATGCAAGACTTCAATTATCTCCACTCCAACTGCTTTGAGATTACGCTCGAGCTGAGCTGCAACAAGTTTCCCCGACAAGAGGAGCTGCAAAGAGAGTGGTTGGGTAACCGGGAAGCCTTAATCCAGTTCTTGGAACAGGTAAGATCTCGCTGTTTGACTCTCCTGGTTGCAAGAGAGGATCTTCCAATGGCCGCTGGGGTTGTCACAGGCTCCGGCCGACCCCAGCTCTGATGCCGCTCAACCAGCTATACTTCTGGGATTGTTTTCCCTTCAGTGTCCTGGAGTACAGCTGTCTGTCCAAAACTTTACTATAAGCTGAGGACTCTGGGTAAACAAGCATATATCCCTGTCTGTATGGAACTGACATTCTAACCAGGACAGACAATAAACAAAATAAGGAAGAGAATTCTGTGACTCATTAAACAGAGAAGTGCTGTGAAGAAAGTCTCCTCAGAGAAAGTGACTCTCGAGTGGAGTCTGAGGAGCGGAGGGGCCCTCCCGAATGGGTCCAGTGGGAACAAGCCAAGCTCCACATCTGAGACCTGCTCAGCATCACCACACACACAGGAAGCTGTTGTCTCAAGTGTACTGCAGCGCCTTCTGTCAGAAACAGGAAAGACAAGGCTTTGGAGGAGGCGGAGAAACTGGACTCCTTAAGCACTGAGAGCAGAAAGTGATATCTCTTCTAAGCCAAGCAGTATGACAGAACTTCTGGAAAATTCAAAATCAGGCTGAAGTTTAGCTCAGTGATAAGCTCTTGCTTAGCATTTGAGAGACCCTAAGTTGTGTCTCCCGACCCATAAAAGTAACCACAATTAAAATAAAATTGTCATATTATTTGGCACTATTAAATCCCAAAGAAGTGAAGGCTGTCAGACAGACAGACAGACAGACAGACAGACAGAATAGTTAAATCCTGAAGAAGTGAAGGCAGGCGGAAGGGAGGGAGGGAGGGAGAGAGGGAGGGGGATTATTTAGCCTTCAAAACCAGGTAAGCTCTGGCACATACCTTAGCAAGGCTGGACCCTGAGGACTGCAGTAAGCCAGTTATACAGCAATAAGCCCTGACTTCGTTTGTTTAGATAAGGCTCATCCAGTCGCACAGACAGAATGCAGAATGGTGGCTGGGGCTGGAAGAGCAAGACATGGGGTAGAGAATGGAAGAGATGGAGACTTTCAATGTAAGGAGAGCTGTTTCAGTGTCAGCAGATGAAGAGAGTTCTAGAAGTGAGTCGATAGGCTAGGCACACGTTGCAAATGTGCGTGATAAACTGGATGGTACCATTCACAGTGAGTAATTTATCACAATTTATTTTAAGTTCAGTGTGTGTGTGAGTGTGTGTGACACACGTGCATCCATGCCATGATGTGTGTGTGTGTGGAAATCAGAAAGCAACTTGTGGAAGGGAGTCTGTTCTCTCCCTCCACCATTTGGGTCCTGAGATCAAACTTGGGTTGTCAGCCTCAGCAGCATAACCACTGAGCCATCTCGATAGATCACAGTCTAAAGTTTCTTCCCCCTTCCTTCCTTCCTTCCTTCCTTCCTTCCTTCCTTCCTTCCTTCCTTCCT